TGGTTGCCTTCGGGGGTAGAAGGGGAAGTGGGCATGGCTGGGGAGGCAGGAGAGCCCTACCGGAGGTGATGGAAACCTGCTGTAGCTTGACTGTGGTCGTTAAATGAGAGCATGCACTTGTCAAGACCCATCAAACCACACACCTGAGATCCTTGGATTTGACTGTGTAAATTATACCTTATAAAAGGGGGTGGGGCGGGTATCAAAAGGAAATGGCAAGGAAGAACTGGAAGGAGGTTGGAGCTTGGGAACGCCTCCTGGGACTGCCCTGACTCACTGTGTGGCCTTGGGTAACTCCCTTGCCCTCTTTGAGCCCCTGTTTCCTCCAGCACCTCCAAAGGCTATCCTGGTGTCTTGGGGGGAGCAGTGCGTGGAGCACATGTATTGATGATTAGGACAGGCATCTATTAAGCCACTAGCCTTTAAAGTAGCTCTGACAAAGGCAGAAGGCCCCCACCTGGCCCTGAAGTTCATCAGCAGTGGAAAGAGAAGGTATCATCTGGGGCCAGGTGCAAGTCTCAGACTGCCCGGCCGCCCCAAGCTGTCTGACCCTCTTCTGACCTATCACTGGGGGTGAACACACACACAAACCACCACCACCACCCCTTTCCCCAAAAGTCCCCCTCACTCAATTGAAATCAAAAAGAGTCAATGATGTCAAAACTAGTCCTTTTAAGTGTCCTGTTAAGTCTTTATAACCAGAGCAGTGAGGCAGGCGTGGGCCTTGGTAGGTATGGGCCTCCGTCTGTGGCCAGGTCAGGGCTCTCTGACCGGGATTGGGGCCCAGGTAGAGGCCAGAAGCACTGGCCCCATGGAACCTGGGGTTTCTTATTTCTCTGTTGCTCCCAGCTTCCCTGGACTTCACAGCCAGCTGATGGACTGGCTAGCGAGGCAGGGCTGGGCCAGAAAAGCTTTGTAGAGCCATCTGTACAGTGTTTATTGAAAGTGGGCCTAGGCGGGGAGGCAGGCTGTCTGGTGCCGAATGCTGGGTCCCAGGAGGCTTCAGGCCCAGCTGACGGCCACCCCGCCCCCCACCCCAGACACACATGTGGCTGAGAAAAGATGCTTGGGTGGTGGTAAGTGTGGGTGGATGGTCCTTCTCGCCCCTCCCCAAAGGCTGCCCCCAGGACTGAGGGTGAGAACAAGCTCCCAGCTTGGCACCAAGCTGGCCTTTTTCTTTGAGGGCCCGTTGAGGGATGACTGCAGACATTCCTAGGGGCTTGGGTAATAAATAGGACCTTGGCTCGCCAAGCTGGCCCCCATCAGCCAGGAACCACCTCATCATCACCCACCCTGTGCTCCACGCTGCCACTTCGTTCCCAGTAGGTGAGATCACCAGATCCGCCTGGACCAGGCCCCCACATGAGGCCAAGGCCCCAGAGAGGTCAGGCGAGACGGTGGCGGGAGGCTCCAGCTCGGGGCACAGGCAGATGCCGCCATTTGCCCTTAGAGCCAAGTCCACCTCCTCCACCTCATCTCTCAACCTGAGGCCGATAAGACCGTTTGGGCCCAACAGGAGGAGCTGGGAGAGTGCCAGGTGACTCAAGTCCCCCCACCCCGGCCCCCCTCTTCCACACTCCATGGCCTGGCCTCCCAAGAGCTGAATGCTCTAAAACAGTAAGAGAACTTACAACCTCATTTCACCCCACCCTGTCATTCACCTCCCAAGCTCCTGGGGTCTCCTGGGCCCCCCCTGCTGGCCCCCCTCCCAGTTCTGGTGCAGGAACAGGCGTGGACACCTGTGTTTGATTTCCGCTTATTCCTGATTACGGGGACCAGTGCCCTCGTGGGGGGAGAGGTGGGGCACCTCTGGCAGAACCCAAGGAGTAAGCAGGCCACCGGGGCAGCAGTGGTCTCCCAACTGCCCAAGGCACTTGACCCTAGGTCAGGGGAAGTATGGGAGGCCAGATCCAGAGGATGCAGACAGGGAAGGGTGTGGTCATGTCTGGGGGGGCTGATGGTTGGAAGTGGGGCAGAGGTGCACTGCCAGGAAAAGAGGCCCCCAAGAGAGTTGGCCGGTGCCCAGCTTAGGACCCTGCACTGTCAGCAGCTCGCTTGGGGCTGTGTTTTCCTTCCATCCCCTCCTTTCCTGTCCACTCTGACTTCTGCCAACCCAAACGCACCTGGGAGCCCTCTGCCACCCATTCTGGGCTAGAAGCCCAGGCCCGACTTGGTGATCTGTGAGTCCACTAGGGGTGAGAGGAACAGGACCAGAGGGCATGGGCAGGGCGAGGGGCCGGGGGCAGAGGCAGGGGGCATGAAGGACACAGGGGCCAGTGTCTACCAGGAAATCGCTTAGTTAGCTCAGCCCTGCATCTGGGCCTTTGTTCATGCTGTTCCCCAAGGGCAGCTCTGTCTGCCTCGGGGACCTGGCTCCTCCCCAGCCCTTCCAGGAGGTCTCAGTAACTCCCCCATCTTGGAGCACCCAGGGGGATGGTCCTAACCACACACCTAGCTCGGGGCGGGAGGCTTCCTGTAGGAGGTGACAGCCTGCATAGCAGAAAAAGAACAGCAAAGGGTATTCTCTGACAGCCAGACTCCCTCCAACATCGCGTGTTTCTTCCCTCCTCCTCTCTCCCACTGCCTGCTTCAGGTCTCCCTGACTTAGTCCCGGACCCCAACTACGTGCAAGCCTCCACATACGTCCAGAGGGCCCACCTGTATTCCCTGCGCTGCGCTGCGGAGGAGAAGTGTCTGGCCAGGTAAGGGGCTGAGGAGCATCCAGACAGACCCTCAGGAATCACTCCGAGCCAATGCTCGGGGCAGCCCGGCTGCTCACAAGCTGCAGGACCTTGGTCAAGTGCTTGAGCCTCTCAGGACCTTGACCTTGTTATCCGCTGGCCTGTTTCCAGGGAGCGACAGTTCAGACAGGGAATGAGCACAACCCCATTATCTGTGAGTGATTTGGCCCCCTCTCAGGCTTCTAAATGTAGTCACAGCAGTCCCCTCAAACGTACGTGCTCTGGTGGGGGTGGGGGATCTCAGAGAACTAGTTAAAGATTGTATTCACATACTTCTTGGGTTGGTGTCGCTCTATGCTGAGAGTACTTACCAGGAGCCTTCAAATAGTTCCTGGGAAAATTCCACGAACTTTTGAACCCCCTTTCATAGAGCTTTCTTGAATGCTTTTTCTTTCACGTCTACACTGTCCATTTGCCTTCATTTTTAGAATCGGAGTAAGCCCTTCAATTCCCAAGGTTTTCTCAACGACTCGCAGAGTAGCTTACTGCATTCTGGGCATTCCCGGTCTGTGACAGGCTAAGGCGCTCATACCAGGACACAGACTAACTCACTGCTTCCGTCATTGAGAAAGTTGCTTTAGAAAAAAAGCTCAGCTGACCTAAACCCTGTAATTAGTGATGTAATGGACTTATATTCTGGTCCAAAGCCAGTCCGAGTGACTGACAGGCTCAGGAGCTCACAACAGGATGCAAACCGATTCATTGCTTCCTTCATTGAGAGAGTCTCTCTGTGCCAAAAAAAGAGAGAGAGAGAGAGAGAGAGAGAGAGAGAGAGAGAGCCCAGCTGAAGTCAACAGTGTGATTAGTGATGTGGTCAATTTACACGTCTAGAGCAAGTTTCTCACACAGGCTGGCAAGCAGCAGAGTATATCTGGCACCAGACCAGACACCACGCTTAGAGAACCACTCAGCCGGCCCGCCTATCAGGGCTTGTCACATCTCCGTTATCCTCGGACCAGAGCACATTGCTCCTGTTAGAATTCCTCCAGCAACAAGGGCCAGCGGCCTCAGTGGCAGCCCACCCGAGACGAAGCCATAGGTCACTACCTCCTCATCACACCGTCCCCCCGGGGCCCGAGGAAAGGGCCTGGGCTCTGGCCTGGGGCATCTCCTGGGGCTGGCTGGAGGGAGCGGGCCGCGCCCAGGCTGCAGTGAGACACAACCTGGAGTGAGTAGAAGGGTCCACAAGCTGGGCCTGTGGGCAGCAAGGTTGGCCAGGGCTCAGGCATCCAAGCAGGCTGGGCACAGGTCTGCAGACCTCGAAACCTCATAGACCTGCAGCCCGGCGGCAGGCGCGCCCTCCGAGATCATCCGCAGCGTCGTCCGTGAGCGGGTGCCAGCCTGCACACTGCACACACAACGTAGAGAGGGGCAGCAACGTGCTCCAAGTCTCACCACAAGCTGTGGCCAAGTTGGGCCTATAATCTAGACCCAGTTAGTTTCCCACGGTGTGTTGAGCTGAACGCAAAGGGCCAAATGTCTATGCACGGAGGAAAAGAGAATGTTTTGTTCCAACCAGACGCAGACAGATTCCAGGCCTCCCCCAGATCAGGCGGAGGGACTTTGGTTCTGGCAGACGGGAGCCTGGGCCGCCTGTCTTCCAGACATCCCCTCAGAGAGCAGCTAATCCTGAGCTGGCCTGGCCACCTCCTTCCTCTGGCCTCGGGACCAGGCCAGCGCCGGGGAGGGGCCTCTGAGCCCGGAGGAGCCTTCCGCCTGCCCTCCTCCTGTCGTGCACGCACATACACACGTCTGTCTGTCTGTGTGTCGCTCGATCTCTGTGTACATGTGTGTGTCGGTCTACTGGCCTCCCCTGTCCTGTCCCTTCTCCCTTTCTACAGGGCCATTGGAGGCCAGCAAGTGAATGGCAGTGGGGAGTCTGTGTGCCCCATGAATAGAAAGGCCCCAGGTGCTGGCCCTGAGCACACAGTCAAAGACTGGCCGTTCCCATCTGACCCACCGAGGGACAGGTCAGGCCACCCGAGTCCCTTCAGAGGGCCCCCAGGCCAGACTCCTGGAGGAGAATGGATTTGGGAGCTTGGGGGAGCTTGGAGTCCCGGCTGGTGGGAACTGCCTGGGGGAAAGTATGGCGCAGGGGCAGAGTCTTGCCTGTGTGAAGGCCTCTGAGTGACCCTGGTGGCCATGGTATGTGAGGTGACCCAGAAGGGAGTTTTTGACACTCAGAGGTTTAAGCCACACAGTCAAGACGTGATTTGCCTCAGATGAGAATTAGGGCTGTCTTTGCAGAAGATGCCTCAGACCCCTGATCAGTCTAGGTCAGCGGTTCGCAACCTGTGGGTCGCTGGGGGTCGAACGACCCTTTCACAGGGGTCGCCTGATTCATAAACAGTAGCAAAATGACAGTGATGAAGTAGCAACAAAAATAATTTTATGGTTGGGGGTCACCACCACATGAGGAACTGTATTAAAGGGTTGGGGCATGAAGAAAGTTGAGAACCACTGGTCTAGTTTCTCAAAGCTCCCCCGCACCCCCCACCCAATACTTAGCACACTCACTGCCCTCTCACAGGGGCTGTTCCCAGCTAAGAGTGACATGCAGGTTTCAGGGGTCCAGTGGACACTAGCTTCAAGAAAACTCCATGCTGTAGACCAACAAGGAGGGGTCAGCCGGACCCTCCCCCAGCTCCGCCCAAGGTCAAGAGAGAGGGCGAGAAACCTGAACCTCAGATGGGAGACTCATGCCAGGGGGGCAGGACTAGGGGCCAAGAGCTGGGCCGAGGGCTGCTGGGACCCACTCTGGAGACTGGATCACTGTACCCCAACTCTGCTCCTTGTTCTCCCCACCTGTCCTTGCAGCACAGCCTATGCCCCCGAGGCCACCGACTACGACATGCGGGTGCTGCTACGCTTCCCCCAGCGCGTCAAGAACCAGGGCACGGCAGACTTCCTCCCAAACCGGCCACGGCACACCTGGGAGTGGCACAGCTGCCACCAGTGAGTGCGACCTTGGAAATGCCCATGCTGGGGGCAGGTTCTCTGCCAAGGACAGGTCCCTGGGTCAGGGGTTTCTCAAAGAAGCCGTAAAAAGACACTGAGCTGGGAGGGCCACATGGGGTTCAGTCTTGAGAAGGGATGGAAACAGTTGGGTT